GGGGTTTAAGTGGAGAGAAAATGTTTTGAGAATGATGTACAAATGCGCTTTACACAATTGATGTGTGTATGGATTGCGGTAACAGTTGTATGAGCCCCTAATAAAATATTTTAAAAAAAATAAACTCTTCACAATATCCAAAAAAATAAAATAACCCCCTGAAAGTAATATTGGGGGCCCAAATTAGTGAATTAGCCATGGATTTTGAGAGGAACAGATGCACGTAAATGATATTTAAGAACTAGACTTCACATCACTTGGAATTCCATTGGCTGAAAGAACAGGAAAAAGCAGTTACACCGTTGCCTGAGACAATTATGAGGATATTGGCTTTCTTTATTGACATGGTTGGAGGAGAAGAAAAATGGAATGAAATAAAGAAGTTCGGTTTTGAAATTCAAATGTTAGGGACACTTATTTGTGAGATTCCTAGATGGAAAAATAAATTAGTTATGTGGTTTTGCAGGAAATGTAGCAGTGATGTATTTATTTGGAAACTTTCAGCACATGTACATCAAGTCAATCACTGGAATGGAAAATACAACCACAGAGAGAGAGAGAGAGAGAGAGAGAGAAAGAGAGAGAAAGAGAGAGACTATTGGGATGATAAAACAGTGCTAAAATTACAGCATCCATGACATTGTGACTCTCCGTCTTGCAGACAAAAAAGGAGGGAGGCTGTCAAAGCTGAAGTGATAAGACAGTTGAGGAAACAGAGGTCTAAGCATCTGATTCTGGGATTGTGCCAAGCTTAGTTTGCCACAATGTGTTTCAAACACAGATACTATGCCAAGAGTGTAGACTTTAGGAAAACAAGAGATTCAGAAGCAAATAATATAACTCCATTAGAGTGGGAAGGATCAAAGGTAGTTCGGGATTCTCTGAATTTTCACTTATAACAACTATCCATTTTACAAATTGCAAAAATTGACAGAAGTACAGCATGTGGGTGCGTCAGCCCAGTCAGGGGCGGAATAGGAGACACACATTTCTCCATCACTCATTCCTCATGTTCAGAACACTTACTATCAGTCCAAAATGCCTTCAGAAAAAAACAAGATTTGTTTGTTTGTTTTTGTCTCTCTTTTCAAAGTTAGCTCTTCAAAGCCCTAGCAGTGTCTACTCAAGAATAAGATTACATTTCCATGCGTCTTTCTTTTCTGGCAACAAATCAATATAAAGTTCACCACAACACTTATTTTCCAGAGTCTGAGCTATTGCATCTTGCCTGAGAAAGGAGACTTAGACCCTTTGATGGAGCTATATTACAATATATGCAGTGGAAAATACCTTTCTTGTCACATTTATGTGGTTGATGGCAACATGGGGACATTTTCCCATGCCCTATTAACCAAGAGAAAGTAAATCCATTGTAAGGATGCAGACTTACTTGCTACTTCAATTCTACTTGACTCAATGTCTGCCAAGGTGCTCATTTTTCAGGTCAGTGTAGGGTCCCACAAAGGCTTTTAGAGACATATATAAAGGTAAATGACACACCAAGAAACGTGGCTCCATGGTCCCGTTAATGTATGTGGCTTTCCAAGCTTAAATTGTGTCATGTTTATTTTCCTCTTCACTTGTCCACAATTTCTCCCATTTAATTTAGAATGTTCAATTACCATTAATTCCAGGCAATCTATTGTTTAATTGGATGGATTTCAATTGCTAATTAAGACTGCAGATTTCAACCAAGAAAGCTAATTTAAACCTGACAACAGGTTTGTTAGAAAAAAAATTGGGGAAAATAGTATGAGAGAATTGAGAATAACACAGGCATTTGTTTGTGTATCACAGTGTCACTTGTTTTTATTTTAATTAGAACAAAACCGTAGTTTCCTACTAACGAACTTTCTAAATTGCAGAAATAGCTAGCACCATGATTCCTCATGTGGTGCATATTGTCATAAAAGACATACCTGCCCATTTCACTGCTCCAGAATAGTGTCTTCTTAGTCACACAGTCTTGCAATTTACCACGTCCTATCCACTGCAAAGCAAAATTAAGAACAAAAGTTAAGAAGAGGCCACATGACAAAAATGTGTGGCACTAGTCACAGAAAAAGAGAGAAATGAAGAAGTTACTTTTTCTTAATCTTAAAAGGATTCTATGAAATGACCTGCTCGACCATTAAAAAACAAAAACAAAACAAAACCCGGCCATCAAGTCTAGTTTGACTCACAGCAACCCGTTACTACATAGATGTGCAGCCTCTTTGGTTTTCAGAGGGTAGAAATCTGTAGGCAAGCAGCAAGTTCAAATCGTGGAGCATGCTGTTAGCAGCCCAAGGCACAGCCCGGTATACTATCAAGTGTCCTTGTGTTACAGAATAGTTCTCAGAAAATACTCAAGGCAACTCAAAGCTTGCCATGAGCCTATGATTAGGTTCTCTGTGTTATCTGGTTAGGAAATAGAGACCTAGAGCGCATTTGAAAACCTAGATACAACATGTCTCAGGATCTGTTTTGGCATGATAGATCAATGTATTCCAAAAACAACACGTTAAGCCAATTACCCTGAAAATGTCGGAGCAAGGAGAGAACAGTGAAATAAATGTCTGAATCACGACATCATTTCCTTGATGAAATAAAGTGACATTGACTCAAACTTAATGGAGAGTTTTTAACACTTTTTTCTTGCGATGCCAGCAATGTTAAGAAAATGTGCTTTTGCAGTTTAGAAAAATAAGAAAAAAATATTAATTAAAACTTAAAAGGTTGAGTCTTCACATAGTGGTGATGATGCAGACAAATCAGATTGTGCAAACAAATAACTTCCCGTCATTTTCAAAAGTAAGAATAGGGAGGTTGTGAAGAAAGCTATGGAGGCAAATCTCGGGATTCTAAGTAATTCATAGCTTGGTCTAATTTTCATACACTGTGGCCCCCTAAATTCTATGCTTTGGGTCCTGGAAGTTTTATTTATAACACTTGTGACAACAATGTAGAATTCCTAATAAAGGGATGATGGCAAAGGGTGCACCATTAGGTTCCAAGAAATCATTCTATAGTGGTAAACCAAAGGAAGGGGCCATCACATTCAACGATACTTCAAATAACCAGGCAAAAGCAACGACCAGCAGCCAAGTCAATTCCTACTCATGGAGACTTTCAGTGTGATCCAAGCAAACTGTACTCCAAACAATTTTCAGGGCTGATTTCAGAATTCCTTCATCAGGCCTTTATTCTTAGACACCCTGAGTGGATTGCAACTGCCACCCTTATATTTAGGAGCAAAACTTGCTAACCATTGTCACCACCCAGAAACAGTGGCTATCATAATACAAATTATGCACCATTCTGACCAGTGTTGGCATTAGAGCTTTGTAAACTTTACTTGGAAGGGTGAGATTATCATATTACTTATGGATTTAAAGAAATCTATAGAATTTCTTGCAGAGAATTTTATAAATATGAAAATGTATAACCAAAATGTTATGCTACAAAATAAGAATTATAAACACATAGTCTAGTATAATACATTTGGAAAGTGAACAGAAGTCATGATAATAGACTTTGAGGTTCTGATGTGAACTTATAGTGTCCTTTCACAAAATAGTTGTTGGGATTTAATGAATATATATGATTAAATGACAGCTGTTTTTTTTCCCGTGAGGTGGAATTTCTAGTCATATAATTCTCTGTTGCTTGTTCTATCCATAATACATGGCCTTTTGAATGGAGAGGTCCCTTTTTTTCAAGGGTAACAATGGAATATGCAGAAAATACCGAGGGGTGGCTTATGAATCAGCTCAAAGCTCACTCAATCCTATCTCTAAGAAGTTTGCCTTTTTTCAAAAGACATAAATATGTTCTAATCTTTCCAGAAGAAACTGTGTCTTTCTCTATTCTTCCTAACCAGAAGCACTGCTGTCCTGAACCGTCATTTCCCCCCCACTTGGCAGGGGAAACCTTTCTATTCCTCTCTGATACATAAAAAACAGCCGCTTGAAGACATAGTCAAAGGCTCCACTATGAATGCCCTTGAATCATGAACTCTTTCTGTGAACTATCATTGAAGAACCTTCTTGATGGGATACTTTTAGTCTGTTTTGTG